GACCTCCCCGCTCGCCCCCCCAGCCATCCACCCACCAGGACTGTCGCACTCCCTCCCGAAACTCCTCAGAGCCTCCGTTTAACCCCAGATCCCCAAACCCACCCTCCTCCCGGGCTCCCACCATCCCCCTTGACCCCCCCCAAATCCTCCCTGACCCCCCCAAATCCCCCCTGACCCCTGTTTTCCCCCCACCCCAGCCATCCGCCCGGGCTCTAAGGCTGCCGAGGGCGTCAGCGACTCCGACATGGCCAAGCGGGCACGGGTGAGTGGGACCCTGGGGGGGTTACAGGGACCCCCTGGGGGGGTGAGAGGGACCCCGTGGGGGGTGAATGGGAGGAAGGTATCCCCCCTGACCCCACTTTGTCCCCCCCAGTTCGAGGAGCTGAAGCGGCGGCGGCTGCAGGACCCCAACGTGGGGGTGTCCCGGACCCGGCTGTGCCTCCACAACCTGCCCAAGGCCCTGGACACCCCCCGGCTGCGGGCGCTGCTCCGGGGGGTCCTGCGCCACAACGGGGGGGCCCCCCCACACATCAAGGAGGTGGGGGGGACACACACACACCCCTGAATCCTTCCTGTGTCCCCCCCCCCAGCTCCTGTTCACATCGTACTGTGCTCTGTGTTCTCCCCTCTGGCGTTTGAGGGTGTGGGGGTCTCCCGGTGTGGGTTTGGGGTGCAGAGCAGGTGGGGGGTCCCCTGTACCCCCTGTGTGTTCCCTTGGGTTCCCCGTGTCCCCCCAGGTTGATTTCAGGTGCAGGGGAGGTGGAGGGTCCCCTTTTGGTGTCTCACTCTGCGGGGATTTTTGGGGGTGCAAAGGTGGGGGATTCCCTGTGGTTGGTGTCCCACCCAGGGGTGGGGGATGTTGGGGTTCCCTTGGGGATGTTGGGGTTCTCCAGGGGGGGTGTCATGGGGTTTTGGGGTGACTCCATACCCACCATGCCAGTGCCAGGTGCTGTGGGAGCTGTGAGGGGGTGTTGGGGTGACTGGGAGGGGGTTTTGGGGTAACCCTTTAGCCTCCATATCCTCATTGCAGTGCCAGGTGATATGGCAAGCGTCAGGTTGTCCCAGGGGTTTTTGGGGTGACCCTGTACCTTCCGTACCCCATTTCCCAGTGCCGGCTGATGTGGGAAATGCAGAGGGTGTCGGGGTGTCCCAGGGGGTGCTGGGGTGACCCCGGGGAGTTTTTGGGGTGACCCTGTCCCCTCTCCCAGTGCCGGGTGATGCGGGAGCTGCGGGGTCAGGGCCAGTCTTTGGGGTTCGCCTTCGTGGAGTTCGGGGAGCATGAGGAGGCTCTGGGGGCCCTGCGGCGCCTCAACAACAACCCCGAGCTCTTCGGGCCTCACAAGGTCAGTGCAGGGGACCTGTCCCCACTTTGTGTCCCCCCCTCTTTTTGGGTGCCCCGTTTCCTGCACCCAGGGCTGCCCCTCATGTTTTAAGGCTTGGATTCTCCCAGAGCTGCCCCCAGGATTTCACGGTACTCCCCCAGGTGTTCTTGTTCTAGGCTGTCCCCAGGGTTTTGGGGTACCCCTGGATGTACTGGAGGGGGCCCTGGGTGTTTTTGTGTCCCTCCTGGGTTTTGGGGCATCCCTGGGGGTTTCAGCGTGCCCCCATAGTTCTGTGGTGCCCTGGGAGTTCTGGGGTGCTCCCCTCGGGTCTTGGGTGTTTAAGGGTCTTCTGGGTTGCCAGGAGGGGGTTCTGGGGTCTCCCCCTCAGTTCTAAGGCCCCCCCCTGGATTTTGGGGTGCCCTCATTGTGTTGGGGTGCCCAGCGTGTTCTGGGTTTCCCTGGGCTTTTGGATAGGTTTTGGAGGTCTCCCCCTGTGTTTCAGGGTGCCCTCACAGTGTTTTGGGGGAGATTCTGTGGTGGTCTCCCAGTTTCAGGGCTCTACCCCATTTTTGGGGTCCCCCCCCTGGTGTTTGGGGGATGTTCCTGGATGGCCCCTGGTTCCAGGGTGTCCTCCGGTGTTTCGGGGGATTCCTGGGTGCCACCTCAGGTTCGGGGCTCCCCCTTGGTTTTGGGGTGTCCCCTGGTGTTTGGGGGTGTTCCTGGGTGCGCCCCCTGTTCCGGGGTGCCCCCTACCCCGTTCTCAGGGTGTCCCCCACACTCTCCCCCAGCGCCCCATCGTGGAGTTTGCCCTGGAGGACCGGCGAAAGCTGCGGCTGCGGGAGCAGCGGATCCAGCGCGGGCTGGTACGGGGAGGGGGGACACCCCTTTTAACCCCCTGACCCCCCCCAGGGGGCCCCCCCAGCCCGGGGCCCCCAGCACTCACCCCCTCCCTCCCCCAGCTCAAGGCCAAGGCGAAGGCGGCTGAGTCTGCAAAAACCCCGGAGACCCCCCAAGGACCTACAGAGCCCCCCAAGGGACCCACAGAGCCCCCCAAGGGCTCGGGTGGGCAGGCCCCTCCCAGCAAGACCCCTCCCAGCAAGGCCCCTCCCAGCAAGACCCCCCCCAGCAAGGCCCCCCCTGCCAAGGCCCCCTCGGGCCCCCCCGGGACCCCCTGGGCCGGGTTCCGCACGCAGGGCCCGGGGGGGCGGGGGGCACCCGGGACCCCCCGCAACAAAGTGCTGGCAGTGCCCTCGCACCGGGGGCCCAAGATCAGGTAAGGAGGAGCCTCCCCCCACACACACCATTTTTCTGCCCCCAAATCCTTTCCCCCCCTGCCCCCCTCCTTTTTTCCCCACGCTTTTCCCCTCTCCTGTTTTGCCCTTTTATTTCTCTGCCTGTTTTTCTCCTCTTTCCACCCCCGCCAAGACCCCTCCCATGGGGGTCTCTTCCTCTCCGGGAAATCACTGGGGAGGGGTCTCAGGGGTTCCCCCTGACACAGTGCTTTCCCTTTCTCCTCCCAGGAAACGGGACAAGGGGAAGGCACAGCCCCCTCTCTCCAAAGCCCCCAAGCCCCCCAAGGCCTCTCGGCGGCGGGAGAAACAACAGGAGACCCCTCCCCAGGTAAGAAT